AAGACCATCGGAGCATTGGTAAGACCGAAAGGCATGACATTATATTCAAAATGGCCATATCTTGTACAAAAAGCTGTCTTCCATTCGTCTCCTTCCTTGATTTACACGAGGTTGTAAGCTCCCCTTGGATCAATCTTTGTAAAGATCCTTGCACACCCAAGTTGTTGTAGAAGTCATGATATCAAGGGTAATGGATAATGACTCTTCTTTGTCACCTTGTTGAGACCTCGATAATCCATGCACATTCGCAGCAAGCCATCTTTCTTCTTCACAAATAAGATTAGTGCTCCAATTGGCGACTTCAAATGACGAATGAAGTTTTTGGCTAAATTCTCGACAATGTACTTTCACAACTCCACTAACTTAGTCTGCGACAAATTGAAGATTGGGTCAAAAGGTGGTTGTGCTCCTTCTTGTAAGTCTATGGTACAATTGTATGGTCGATGCTCTGGTAGCATGTCGGCATTCTTCTTTTGAAACATGTCTTTGAAATCCTTATATTGCTTCGGTATACTTGTTGTTGAAATATTCTCTCCGCTAGTTGGAGTCGCATAAATGACAAACAATGTGCCTTCCTTGGACAATGTTACAAACTCTTTTGCTCCAATAAATAAGGGTTTTTTGATTTGAGATCTTTTAACAGGCTTATTCTTGGAATGTTCTATAGGAAATGTCATCTTTTGTAGCCTCCAATCTATGGATGGATTATGCATTTCTAATTATGAAAGATCAAGAATAACAAGGTTCGACGGGGTTCTAATAATATTGAAAATAATATAACTACTATGGTCTTTAAATGTCACCTCTATAGGTTTTGATTCATGGATGACACTACCAAACAATAAAGGTTGTCTATCTATTACTTCTTCGTGAATGAGTTTAGATTTTTGTACTAGAAGAATCTTGTGACACTTAGCAAATTCTTCGTCTAAAAAATAAGAAAATATCCCTGAATCTAATAATGCTAAGATTTTTAATTTCTGAAGGCCAAAAGATAGAGGAATGGTAAAGCAATGGGTAGTCTGAGCAGAAAGAGAGGAACTTAATTGTTATTGTGGTATTGAATTGTCCAGTCGCGTGGTCCCTATTGTGGCTATGTATCCTTGTTTTCTTAAACAAACGTACCTCTGGTCCTAACAATGCGTCAATTTTGCTTCTTGGGGCAGTTTCCAACTCTGTGGCTTTCTTCACTATAATACAAACATAGTCTTTCTTCCATATGCCACTTTTTTTTCTTCTAGAGTTAGAAATTTGACACGTACTGCGTCCTTTTGTATGTCTTCTACCTTTGAATCTAAATTCAGGCTGCTTGCTGACATAATTGGGGCGTGGTGAGCTTTATATTATCTTGAGTGTTGATCTTGGTGACGTTGGAATAGGTGATTATTGCACTTCACAGCTTGGATAATGGCTTTGTTGAGCGTTTGCGGATTTGAAAGAGATAATAATTAATCCTTCATGTCGTCCTTCAAGCCTCAATAAAATTGACTCATCAATGCTTCCTCGTCCCAATTGATGTCACATGCTAATTGTCTGAAATCTGATGCATAGACTGACGCAAAGTGTGCCCTTTGTCGTAGTGACCGAATCTTTGTTGTAGCCCATTGGACCTAGTCATGTTCGCCAAATGCTTCTGCAAACTCATCCAAAAAAGTTTTAAAGTTGTTCAAAATTGACGATCCTTTCTCAAACAAAAGAGCAAATTATGATAGAGCTTGCCCTATGAAAAAAGTTCCAACGAGTCTAATACATGACTCCTGCATCGGATAGCGTTCGGGTTGTTAAGCTCATATCAATCTAATTTGATTAATAAAACCTCAAAACTTAGAACCCGTACCATCGAACTTATCTAGAAGGCTAATCTGGGGCTTTTTTTGTTGTAAGATCAACGGTCCTTATTGAACTAGAGGCAAAGCTACTTCTCTTGGTATTGAAGCTTGAGGCTGGTGAATCCTCGATTGTGCCATCCTGGATGCTCCATCATTATGAAGTCTTGCAATGATTCCTTCAATCTCTATAGTTCTCTATGATAACGTAGCAAGAGTATTCATAATGGCATCCAACTTGGACTCTGAACTTTCAATCATATTAATATCTTCATCTTCGGCCATTCTAAGAGAAGGAAAGAAATGACTCTATAAGAAGGCAATATTGGTTTAGAGGAGGGTACTCCGCAACCTCTAAAAAACTTTAAAACCTTCAAGAAGAAAAATAATCCATTCTCTCCAAAAAATTTAAGACTCTAATATTATAATAGAAGAAATATTAGTTTAGAGGAGGATAATCTGTAACCTCTAAAATGCTTGTACCTTCAAGTAGGGAGATAATCCACACTCTAACAAGAAGGAACTAACTCTAATATGAAAGATGAGTGCAATCTCGACAAATTGTCATGAATTTAGAATACTGACTGGAAATCTAAACAAGAAGCTTAAGAAGAATCGGCAAGAACTAGATTAATCAGATGAGTATAAGAACAATAATAGAGAGGTGAGCTAGAGCTCCAAGAGATTTGTTATTGAAACTAAGGATCCCCTTAGTCTTGGCTTCATATATATTACAAATTAGGAAGCTTCTCAAGTAGCTTCCACAAACTAAGAAGCTTCTCAACTAGCTTCTACAAGCTAGGAAGCTTCTCAAGTAGCTTTCACAAATTACAAAGCTTCTGTAGAATCTTCTAGAATCTTCTACAACTTCCTTGTGTATGTCTTTGACACTAATGGAGCAAGTTCTTAAAGCGAGGAAAATTTGCTATAAACTTGGTGTTTATTCTACAAAAGTGTAGCACTTTCTTGATACACTTCATCTTGTTCTATGAAGATTCTTCTTCTTAGAAATGATAATTAAAATTCCACACTAAATATTATTTTTTTAGAAGTTTTAATTAAATAAATATTAGTAATTTATTTTTTATATTTTATATTTTAATTTATTAATTTATTAAATTTAATACATCATTAAATTTCTTTACAAACTTTTATGATTTTTAATATAATTTAATATTATATATATATATATATATATATATATATGTTTTCACAAACATCTCCTTGAACAAAATTAACTATTTTTTTTTTATATCATATCTGAAAGCTCCATTATATATTTTATTTCTTTCTATTTTTATTATATTGTATTTGAATTTGAAAAATATTCTTTGACTTACAAATGTATCTTTCAAAAATAACTTCATTTGATTCACACTTTCTATGACAACAAGACGGGTTCAACTTCAACTTCACTCTAACTTTTGTGTCATCCCTTCTTTTTTTCACTTCAACTTCTGTGTCATCCCTATAGAATTGATTGCATGCCATAGGAATTTATTGTCTTGTTGTTGAAAGCAGCAGGCTATTATTCAGAGCTCAGAGGTTTAGAATGTGTGGGATGTAACAACTTCGAGGGTCCAGAGATTGAGAACCTGTAGTGTAAGCATTAGAGTTGAGAGATTGAGAACCTGTAGTTTAAGCATAAGGGTTGAGAGATTGAGAACCTGTGGATAGGGTGGGCGGGGGAGGGGCGGGCATAAGACCCCACAACAAAGAGCAGGAGGCGCGCCGCATCTATCTATGATTCCGCCGTTCTGCTGATGGTACACCTGCTTTTTCAGGAGTTTTGCAGCATTGCGCCGTGCTTTGTCAACGTCACCTTTCCACAATGTGTCGCTGCATACCGAAACAACAATGCCTCTCGCCGTCGGAACCGATGCACACCCTTAATTGCGAATTCGCATGCCAAACTTGTTTACCCATCTGGACCCACTTCGGCTGGTCGTTCTATAGAGATTTCGTGAAGAGATTTACGCCGTAGCATCCAACATGTCCTTCCTTGCCTCTTAATTCACGAAGTTGCAGTCGCGAATAGTACTTTTAGGACCCGTGCAGAGGTCTTCGTTTTCAAGTGCCTGTGCTTGAGACTTTGTTTTTATAATTCAGTCGTTCTTAGCTTCGCAAGATCACGTCGTTACTTCCTCAACTTGGGTCTACCGAATTGCATTACTTGGGCGGTGAGACAATGACTGCTACTCCAGGCCAGTGTAAGAAGTGGAACCTGAATCACGGACAGATCTCAGAGGTCTTACTCCATGAACGTATAGAAAGCTGTGCAGTACTTAGCAACATCATCGACGACATCGTAGGAGATAATGCAGAGAGAGGTGATGACAATGCTGCCACCTCCTCGATTGCTCTTTTCAAAACATTGCGATTCGTATCTTATCCTTCTCTTGCGCACAAGAATCTCTTAATTGCACACACACAGGACGTTCAAGCTGGACATAACTAGCACACCATCCTACTTGAAGGTCCACAGCCTATCAAAGTCGGACATGCATCAGCCTCTCCACCCAATTAACCAGCAATGTCATTGCAAAGCCTGTTGAAATGCGAACTAGAGTTGGCAGACTCTCTTTCTCTCTCACTGTGCATACTTGTTACACCACGCCTGCAGTCCGGTTCCGGATATGGCAACAAAGCTGCAAACGCCGCCGCAGCAATTATAACAAATGACTACTTCCTTCGAATATGCCACACCTCCAAATATCTGAGGCTGCGTCGCAATCTTTGATAAAGATGCCTCTGCAGCCGTATGACCATCTTGGTCGCCTTCAAACCAGTGCTTGGACGGCAGCACAAACTAATGTTGTCTTCGAACACACAAGTAGGTACCAATAACAATCTCGTAGTGCACCAATAATGCTCTTAGCGAAGACAATGTCAATTACACGCGAAACCACAGTACCTGTTGTCAGTTTCCCAATTGAACGATGGGCCCACCATAATTAATATATTTGGAAGGGAAAGAACCTCCCTGAAGAAGGCGATGGCACTGTAGCAATGGGTGAGTTACAATTAGCTCTCTGCTTTAAGTGATGAACCCTACACAGCAACGCAGAAGCAACGATTAGGTCACCAGGTTTAGCTTCCATCGCAAGTGGGAGCTGAACTTAGGGGCCCAGGTTCCGGGCACGTCGCAGGTCAGGAGGTATACCCGGGTGTGTATCTGATGGGTAAGGGAGTTGTTGGGGTTCTGGTGAAGAGACCGAGGAGAGCCACCCTGCACATTTCTTGGGATAGAGGCACCAGTACCTCCACGGTAGTCTAGCCACTCGTGCTCAGCTCTCCTGCCACCTCCTTTCATTCCTCACGATTCCGTAGCATTACCTTTAGCCTGAGCCCTAGCCGTTGCTCGTACAGTCGCATTACTGTAACGTAGTTGAGTTAGGATGTGTCGCTCTTGCTGTCACTGTCCTTGCTCCGGAATCTTGCAGAGTGAGTGCGTGTAGTTTTCACTTTTAGCGATCAGGATGGAGTTGGGATACGGAAGTCAGCTTTCTGAAGGATGAGACAATATCGTATGTGGGGTGGATGGCGTTACTCACTCGCTAACATCACATGACACGCTTTTCATCACAATGTTGGCCTCGCACTTTGTCGGTTATGAAAAACTGTAGGCTGGCGATCTGAGTAGGAAGGCGGGTTGCGTAGGCAGTCACCGGCTGAAGGCTTAGGTTGATTCCAGCAGACTTGGCGTTCGCTGAATGTGGGTGTAGCGTTTCTCAGCAGAGACGGGGTTTTGGAAGTGCTTGGCGGCGGTTTTGACGGGGCTGGAGAGGTGAAGGTATTCCTGAAGGGTCTTTCGAATTGGCATTGAGGAATTTCTATCGAAGACTACATTGTCTTCGGTGAAGGTTTACGAGCGAAAAGTGTCCACGATCGAGTTTTTCTTGGCCACGCCCGTCGCCTCTGGTTAAAGCTGGAAGTTTAAATCTACGGAGCCTGCTCTGCTTGGGAGGACTTCGAAAAGGTTTGTCTCTAAGATTTACCTTGTGCAACGAGGTTTTGCTAGCTACACTAACTGTTTCATTTTCTCGTTGTCTATTCATAGAAAAAACATTTTTGGAACTTTTGTACAGGCGAACTGAGTTTCACACTCGTGTGAGCGATGGTGATGTCTTTCGCTTGTGTGTGTGTGTGTATCGAGCTTCATTGATAAATGCGATGCATTTTGTTGTTGTTGCATATATACCCTATGTTGGTTGGTCGGATTTCGGCTTGATTCCTCCTACCGGCCCTAGAAAATGGTCTTGTGTACGAACCAGCATTGTGGTTGCTATTTTTGTTATTTTTGTCGTATAGATTACTAATGATTTACGATCTTCACCTGTGATTTTAGACGTGGTGGGTCTATCTCAATGCCCACCTTGATACATCTACTGCAGAGAAGTTGTGGATATTGTCCATGTTAACATTCTCATGTCTCATGCTTGCAGCGTCACATACTATCTATCAAACACTTCTTGTTGCACAGTAGAAGCATTCAGACGTATAAGCAACGAGTAATCTTCTTAATTTTCGCAAGGTATTCTCTAAACGTGCTTTTGGCTCGACTCCTTGAGAATACTCTTAAGTGCTAAAATATTTCTCACCTGCCTGTCACCCGCATGTCACGTGTTTGTACATGAGTAGTTTTTGACCCAGTGGTCGTGCTTCTCCACGTTAGAGTACTTCTGTTAGAAAACTACGCCATTTTCTGCAATGTTAGCTTCCATTTTTCCCTCATCTCTTCTCCCTAATTTGCTATTCGTAAGCTACGTCTGATGCCAGCATCACAATTGTTGTTCAAGGATGCTGTGTGATTAAACAACTATTGATATTAAGGCATCTTGGCTTGACGGAGTGACCTTTTTTCGGTGTCGATTAGCTTGCGGATCAGGTTCAGTTTTTCCCTTAGATTGGTTGGGTAACATTTCAGTTTTAGAACTCTGGGTTTCAAGTTTTCTTATGGTTTGTCCTTGCAATGGATGTAGGATAAATATGGGGAAGAAAGGGAGGTGGCTTACTTCTGTCAAGAAAGCTTTTCGACCTCCTATCAAAGATGGAGATGATGAAGAAAATGAGCCCAAGGATCTGGATCTTTTTGGTGACATTCGTCCTCTGGCGGTGGTAATACTTGCTACCATGCAAAGAAAAAAATGCATTCTCGTGATGATTTTGCAGTTAGGTTATCTAAAGCTTGATGCGTACCATGAGGCACGGACGGATATGATTAGTGTTGATCCGGAATCCACTGTTAAGTTGTTATATCAAAGTTCATAAGTCGGCTGAAATTATTAACTTTGCAACTGATCAAGATGGGTGTACTAAGCCCTTACTTCTGAGAGTCATTCCTTGTGAAACCTTTGGAACCAGTTTGAGCCTCTGAATTTTTCCGTGAATATGTTCATTTCTAGCTTTCTTTTTTCTCGCTTTCCTGACTCTTTTCGTACAATTAATGACTTATGTTTCAATATGCACCAGGACAAGCCAAAGCCCAAACCTCGGCGGTGGAGCTTTGGCAAGTTAGCGTTGTCAGAAGACAAGGAGTCGGAGAAGAGAAAAGACGATGCTAACCAAAGAGAAGCAGTTTTGTCCAACAGCAAATTTGCTATGTACATGTATCCATCCCAAGAAGAATGGGCAGCCGTGGTTATTCAAACTGCTTTTCGAGGTTACCTGGTATGAGCTGGATTAGTCGCCCGTTTATTTTTGTTTTAAAATCAATCTACTCGTCCTCTAAGCTATTGTATAATCCGACCATGTGGTTGTTGCTAGTCAGTAAATATGTGTTGTAAATCTCCATATCTTAGGTTCTTGTTACAAAAATTGTAAGTCAGTATGATTTATTATTGTCAAAAAATCTTTGATCTTGTAGGCCAGGAAAGCGTTACGTTCTCTGAGGGGTTTAGTCAGACTTCAGGCTTTTGTTCGAAGCCACAGAGTGATGCGACAGGCAACTACCACCATGAGAAGCATGCAGGCACTTGCTCGCGTTCAGGGTAGAATAAGATCTCATCGTATTCGGATGTCGGATGAAGGTCTAGCTGCGCAGCACCAGATATGGCATCGGGGTCAGCCTTTATCCAAAAAAGCTTCGGTGCGCAATTCAGCCTTAAGATAGATTTTTCATTCTTAGTTCTACTTTAAAGAGGTTTGTATGTAATTTCACACGATTCTTACTTTGTTTCAAAAAAAATGGACCCTTCTCCCCCCCCCCCCCCAAATAAAGAAAACCAAGTCCTGTTTCCCAGTTTCTGTCTGTTTAAGACATTTACCAGATACATTTCATGAAGTCAGTGGTTACTTTCTTGCTCTGAGCATTATCTAACAACTCATCCAAACTGTGTAATTTTAGGACGGGCTGACTGAAGCGGGATGGAATGATAGCAACCTAAGCGCACAGCAAATCGAGGCTAAAGTACAGGAAAGGCAAGTGGCGGCTCTCAAACGAGAGAGAGCTTTGAACTATGCAAGAACTCAGCAGGTATCTGAATTGTTTTGCACTTCGTAAGTTGTAAACTATGGTTTTTGACTCCCGTCGTCAATTTGAGGCAGATACATTCCATGATTCATAGTGCTGTGTACCACATGATTGCATGATATTACGACTAGCATTTTCGGTAAAGAGAGTCGATCATATGCTAATGCTGATTGGCACCTTGCAGCAGCTCCGAAAGGTAGCGCCAAAGCAGGTGCTACCACTGTTCATCGAGTGTGAATCTGAGAAGCCCCATTGGGGATGGAGCTATATGGAACGATGGTCAGCATCCCGGCCCTGGGAGAACCGCATCTTCGAAAACCCTTCAGTTTTCAAAGACGTCCAGGATAGTCAAGTAACCAAGAGCTTTGACGTAAGCTCTACAAAGAATGTGAAAGACGCAAGGCGTGCGAGTCTGAATGCGACTCCACCTCCTCAAGTCCGAGCAAGCTCAGACTTTATCAAAGCCAAATCGGGCGAACTTCCTATGAATGCACATGGCCTTCGAACCTCAGGACTTCTCAACAGCCAAGGTCAGCCCATTCCCGGTTCAGGTTACAAGCAGTCCCGTGCTACCAGCCCCAGAAGTGACCATCAAGACGATATGGATGAAGACAGGACTGGAGGACTAGCTACAGCTCGATCTACAACAGCCATTCTTACGGATCCTCAGTTCGGGACTCGGTATAGTAACACTGGTCCTGTTAAGAATGGTGTTATTGTTGATAACGAGGTGAAGAGCCCCCCTATCGTTGCCGGCCACTTACAACAAACGCAGAGTGTAAGGAACAAAGCTAGGGCTCTGAGCCAGCCCAAGCAAAGGCCAGGTGGAGTTGGTGGGTTCAAGACTCCTGCAACCATGAAGCGGCTGTCATATCCGAAGTCAGAACTCGCTGTCACTCCAAGACCTGAAGACGGGAGTAATCCTAAGTTTTCTGGCCAACTTGGAAAGCCTTCGAATCCTAAATTGCCTGCCCGTCCTAAAAGTGGTGTGCTTCCGGGACCTACCCAGTATATCTAGATATCAACAATGGCCTCTTATGGATCCAATTCTGACCCATGTGAGAGTTCAATTTCTGATTTTTAATTTTTCTTTTTCTTTTTCTGTTGAGGACACAGGATAAATGCTCTCAATTCGCTTCCCGTGTTTACTTTTCCTGTAGAAAAAGAGCAAACGCAGAAGTGATGCATAAGGTTTGTCATAGATCCTGCTGATCATTTCATGTATTTCTGAGATTCATTATTTGTAAAACTTTCAGCTGGTTACTGGGTCTATTGGTTTAATAAATGTATATGACATCTCTTTTCCTCCGTTGCTTATAGCACAAGTACTTTGGTGCATCTTCGTTGCTCTCAGCATCAGTCTGTCATCTAGCTGTTTGCTTTGGTACTTATCAATGGTGGTTGTGGCCTAACATCTGCATTACTAAACCACCAAACATGTTGATCTTCTCTTGTACGAGTAGTATGGTCGATCAGGTTGTTATTTCTGTTCCTGAGAGATTTTATCGAAGCTGGTGTGGAAATGTGTTAATGAACAAAACCATCATCAATTTATAAATTAGTTTTATTATTATTTAAAGACATTTGAAATCGAAGTATTTAATATACTGATGCATTAACTATTTTGTGTTAGATTTACTTAAAAAAATTTAATGTTTCAAATAATATGGTATTAAATACATATTGCCATTGTTTGCTAGAATTTTGTGGATTTTTATAATTTCTTTCAAATCAAGCTCTATATATGAATTCTATCCAATAGATTATCACCTAAAGAGTTTAGTATGTGCAAATCTTATTCCTTGCTTCCTACCTCTTTCTTAAAATCTATTTTTGCAATAAAGATTTGTTATATATTAGAGTAGCTAGGACTCTCAAGGCTTGGCCCATTAGGCCAAAATTAAGCAAAATTTATCTAAGTCTTGACCTATAGTTTTGCTATGTACAAAAATGTTCTAAAATTTGACTATTTTATTTTTTTATTAAGGTTAGCAATTTCAATCCTATTGCAATTGCCAATTTGAAAAATTAAGATTAATTATTTATTTTAAATTAGGTTCTTATTCATAATTATAAACATTGATTTTAATTTAAAAATCATAGTTGATTTTTGAATTTATATAAACATACAAAAGTTAATAACCTTGCAGTGGAAGATTATTAACTTCAATTCCACATTGGCAATAAAGTATAGCTACTTTGTTGCAATATTAAGGCTACCTGCCCTTATGACAAGTTGGATCATATAATTCCAAGTTACTATGACTTACTATGACTAAATTATGATAGATTAAAGATAGAATGTAAATAATAGAAAAAATGAGTGAATAATTTTTATCTCAAGGGTAACTTGTTTAAGAAATCAGGAGTCCGAATCTCATGAAAGCTCACAAGTAGTATATAATGGTTGTTTAATGAGGCCTTGAGGCCTTAGTCTCATCTTCCTACCTATACCCAAGGTGCTACAACCCATATGATTATTGTGCACCTCTCTTTCTACAAGGACTACACTAGCTGCTGCTCCTCCTATTTTCTACTAGTAAAACTACTTTTTTTGCATTTTTGACTTCACCATGGTATTCAAAAATACCCAATTAGCCTAGGAACCTTATGCAGTCTTCAAATCTTGCTTCATTTTTTCAGAATGGCTCTCAAGGTGGTAAAACTCAATTTTATCAAGGTCTTGAAATTTTCTCTAAAAATTCATGAAAAGTCTTAAATAAATTCTAAATAAAATTTAAAAAATCATATAATATTTTTTATAATGCTAATATCCTTATAAAGCTATATTTTTCTATTTTGGTGATTTTTTATAGTAATAAAATTAATTTAAATCCACTAAAAACCTTATTTTTATGTAATTAATAAAAAAGTCATAAAGTTCTTTTTCATGCTTCTTCTAACCACTAACTAATCATTAATAGGATTTTATAAGTAGTGCATGTAGATAGAAAGACAATGAAGACCTTGGTCTCAATAATAAACTCTTAATATTTAACAATAAAAAATACTACATTAAATAAGATAATTACCTCTAAGACTTACTAAGACTCTATTTTTATAATTTTTCTTCTAATAAGACGTTTATAACTTATAAATACTTCTAAATTATAGTAAATACTTGAAAAGTAAAAAAGACTCTCTAATCTTAATATTTGTATAATTAAAAGACTTAAAACTATATTTTTAATTAATCTACCAATTATTATCAATTTGTGGGACTCATAACTAGCAAGGATGATATCTTTGAAAGATGGCAGACGCAAAGTGACTCTTCATGCCTCTACATCAAGTGAATAAACAAAATAATTTACAATTAAAGGCTTACTTGTAAAAATGACCTTTATGAAGAAGTAAATACAATATTAGCAACCGATATGTGTAGTGGTTTCAAATCTTCCCTCAGTGGTAGAAAGATGGTTGAAAGAGCAAAATGGACAAAACAACTCATACATAAATATTAGGATGTATTTTTAATTGATTTGCCTTATGAGATGCTACTTGATTGAGGTGTCTTCTTTCAAATAGAATTATTGTATAATAGGATATAGATAAGATATTTGTATTATTGACACATAGGAATAAATGTTAAAACTATGGAAGTTTTTAGAATTGGAATTAAGTTAGTGGACCTACTAGGATCCATTGTAGAACATTCTAGAAAGAATTTAAGGTGGTTATTTAGATAGGGCCTACCATTAAACCTTCTAGAAGGAATTTAAGGCAGTTATCTAAATAGAGTCGATCACCTAAGAATATTATAGAAAGTCTAGGGTAATAGAATAAAGTTTAAATAGAACTGGCCAGGGCCTTTTGGGATATCTAGTCAGGTATGGATTCAGATCTTTTATCTTAATACAATTGGATTTTGTATCTTTCTGTTTTATTTTATTTTATTCTAAATAAATTTTGGTTGCTTAATTTTATCTTCTCTGTCCCATTTTCTTTAGTTTTTTTAAATTTTGTATTGGTTAAATTTTTCCTACTTTGTGATGAGGTTTTATGTTGCCATAGATTAAAAAGATCTTGTAAAATTAAGGTAGATCAGTCTTGTTTTATTGATATGAAAGTAAGTGTTAGACTATTTTCTTTTGGTAGTAAAGTTGATAGTCATCATTTAGTCCATAGTCAGTTATTGTGGTCACACTGGATATTGTGTTGATGCTACCATGAGCTACTCTTAAAAATTCAACTGGGAGGTGAGAAGGCATTATAATAGTAGAATCTAGGAGAGAAATTATATCATAAGAGATATGACAAAGAAATTACAACATGAGAGATATGGCGGAGAAATTATGACATAAAAGATAAGGCAGAGCAATCTCAAATAGAGGCTCAAATACAACATCCAAATAGTCTAAATAGCTACTTTGCAAGAATGAATAGAAGCCTTGAGGATAATAGAGTCAACATTTGCTAGGCTGAAATTGAGTAAGCTCAATACATACTCTAGAACTTCAAGACAAGAAGATGTATATCAATGGCTCTTCAACATGCGACAATACCTCAAACTATCTGGAGCATATACTACTTAAGAAAATATATTTTTAGCCAACTATTTGAGAGATGCGGGAGCCATTTGGTAGCGACATAGACTTTAAAGCTATAGAGCTTATGATAGATTTTGTGATTGGGAGGGATTTGAGACTGAGTTTAGAAATCAATTTTAGCCTATCAATGCGGAGATGATACCACGTGATTAGTTGGAAAGTCTTAAATAATTTAGGTCAATGTAAGATTATGTCTCCAAATCCAAATTCCTATGTTTGCAAATTAGTAATGTTTTAGAGATGGAAATGATGGATTGGTTCTTACAAGGTTTGAAACCTAAGGACTAATTAGAGGTGAAGCTAAGGAATCTACAAACATTTGAAGAGGTGATTTGCATTGCAGAGAAGGTCGATGCTATAGATTTCAAAAATTATAGAGCACAATCTATAATACAAATTTTTATGCCACTATCTAATACTATGGCACAACAACCAATGCCAATAAAGATTGATGCCTTACAAAGATCATTGACATTAAAAAGACAACAAATATTGGTACAAAAGGGATGGTGTTTTTATTATTAAGAGCTAAGCCATTAGATCGGAGGTTGTCTAAAACATCAAAATTCAAGCATTAATAAAATAATGCAGATTCATAGTCTCAAAACTTATTAAGTCGATAATGAGATAGAGTAGGAAAACGAGGCTCTCTAATAAAGGTACTGAGGGCTAGTACTTGAGATAGCTATAGTCTCTTAGAGACAAATATATGATAAATCCAAATCTTGCATCAGTGATAGAAAAGACAATCAAAGGATTAAAACAAGCAAATCAACTTATACAAAAATATCAAAATGTCTTCTCAATTATAACAAGATATAAATAAAATAATTATATTGATAGTTAAAACCATTGAAGTTTCTAGAATTGGAGTTAGGTTAGTGGACTAGGTAAGATCCAGTATGGAACATTCTAAAAAGAATTTAAGGTAGTTATTTAGATGGAGCTTATCATAAAACCTTCTAAAAAAGGCTAAAGGTGGTTATCTAGGTAGAATCCATCATGAAACCTTTTAAAAAGGAAATTTAAGGTGGTTATCTAGGTAAGGCTTACTATCTAAACATTCTAGAAATTCCAGGTATGTAGGATAAGGTATAAATACGACTGACTAAAGCCATTTGGGTCATCTAGTTAGGTATGGTTTTGGACTCTTTTGCTTAGTAAAATTAGATTTTGCATCTTTCTGTTCAGTTTTGTTTTATTCTATTTTTATTTCTATAATTTTATCTTTCATGTTCTATTCTATTTTAAATCCATTTGATTTTATTCTAGTTTGTTTTGTCCTATTTTGTGATAAGGCTTTATGTTATTGTACATTAGAAGGATCTTGAATTTTTGAGATAGTCTAGTCTTGTTTCATTGGTATCAGAGTGAATGTTAGACTATTTACTTTTAGTAGCATGTTTATAGTCATCATCTAGTTCAAGGTGAATTATTATAGTGACACTGGGTATTATATTGAGGCTAACACAAGCTACTCTTAACAACTCAATCGAGAGGTGAAAAGACATTATAATAGTAGAGTCCAATGGAAAAATTATAGTATATGAGATATAGTAGAGCAATCTTAAATAGAGGCTCAAATACAACACCTTTTAAGCTAGATAGCTACTTTGTAAGGACAAATAGAAGCCTCGAGGATAAGAGAGTCAACATATGTTAAGTTGAAATTGAATAAGCCTAGTACATATTCTATGACTTCAAGACAAGAAGATGTATGTCAATGGTTCTTCAACATGCGACAATATCCCTAACTAT